ATTTATTCAAATGTAATGAGTCATGTGCAAAGTTTTAAACTCCTAGATTTTTTGACTTCGAGCTCTGAGATATGACTTATCTACTCATATTCGGAGGAATTTGTGATCTCCACTGTACTGTTTCACACCCCTGAGGATCATGTGCTACTGACTTTCAAAGTTACAAATTTCTGCGCTTTAAGAGGTTTCGGAAAAGATATCGGAAATAATAATGATATGTTTGAGATTAATGTTACACTTGATTACTATCGGGTTTTGACGAAAGTTTCCCGGCACCGCAAATAACATATTCGCAAACAGTTCTTATTGGCGTGTTAGTCATATTTTGTCAAACGATCTTTAGCATTTCAAAGAAAAAGACTTGCTTTAGAACACTGTATTGTGAAATTTCTAAAAATATATCGTTATTATTAAGTACAAGATGTCTGAAATAGAACTATCACGCTACCAGATTAGAACCATCATTTACTTCTAGTTCTGTTGCAAAAAAGTCAGCTACAGAATGTTACCAAATCATATGTACAGCTTTAGGTACTAATGTTGTGTCATATGACACAACATGTGACATGTGAAGGTTAGTACCGAAAGTTCCAAAGCAAGGAGTAGAGCACTCTGGCCGGCCTACTGATGTTGATGAGACCCGCCCGCGAGAACTTGTGGAAAAAGATAAGTATGCAACAACTCGAGAGCTTGTTAAGAAGTTAGACGTTGCTGCCATATGCATTAGTGGCGCTATGCATCGTATGAACTTGACATACAAGTTCAATCGCTGGGTGCTGCATGAGCTGACTCAAGCAGATAAGAACAGACGTGTTCGGGCCTACACTAATCTGTTGGAATATCAACGCAAGGACAAAATTCTGGACTGGATCGCCACTTGTGATGGAATGTAGATTTACAACACAGGCCGAAAAGAGGGTTGATTTGCCACCCCCTGGTGAGACCGTCAGCAGCGTCGCGAAGCGCAATTATAAAAACAAAACGATCATGCGTTGTATCTGGTGGACTGCAGTGGTATTATCCACAAAGAGTATCTGCAAAAAAAGGTAAAACCCTCAACAGTAAGGCGTACAGCGAGATGCTAGTCCGTGTTGATGATGCTCCATCAAGGAAAAACATAGAACTGTGTTCCGGCTCAAAATCAAGATAATGCAAGACCACATGTGTCTTCATTTACCGGCTGGGCTCTGTGCAGACTCGAATGGGATCTTTTTCCGCACCCATCATATAGCCCGACATCGCTCCTTCGGACTTCTACTTTATTTCACACCTGCAGGTACATTTTGCTGGGGCTATCTTCCATTCCGCACAGGACATCCGAAATGAGGTTGATCTATTTTTGGAGTTTTCCACCAAGTTTCTGAACAGAAGGATTTGAAAAACTACCAAAACATTGGCAGAAAATCATAGATTTTGGTGGTGATTACTACCCGTCCTAAAGATACAGCTTTCATGGTTTTTTCCCCCTAACTTTATTAAGAACTTTTTTTGCCGAAAACGTTCGTTACAACCAGAAATTTTTGCATTGATAAGCATATTTAATTGTCATAAAAAATCAACATACTTTTGCTTCTACCGAAAGACTTCGATTTTAGTGTTTTAATACTCGTACATGAAATCGGGGGGGGGGGGGCTGTTGTTTCCACTGCGCAAGAAAAGTCGTGCTTCAACTCATTTCAGAATAGGAAGTATTGCAAAACTATTCACGCGTAGTAATCGCGATAATACAACCGTACTCTAGCAACATATACATATAGACATTTATTATTCTTTTTAAAAATTTGTACTTAAATTTTTACTTTCATTAAAAGGCACAGCTGTGCAATTTATAAAATCTTTATATCATGTTAAGCTGATATTTGTATTGGATTAGACTGCACTTTTAAAATTTTTTTGACATGCCATGTAACTGCGTGAAGACCGCTAGATATTTCGAATCAGGGAATACGAGAAATAAATTATTCCTTCGACTGGAATCGAACAATGGAACTTCCTTTTGCCAACTGGACGTGCTAACCACCATAGAATGCACAAAAAAAAAAAAAAATACGAAAATTCCTTACAAATATTACTTAAAATTTCGGTACGTCAGTATTAAAAGCAGATATCGCGCTTATTCATTAAAATTGACAAACATAATTCCCCAAACTATATTATTAAAATTTCCAATGTCGTTAAAGGCACACGCTATGATTGTTTTAACAAGGAAGTACCACAAAATTGTTTTATTGAAACAATTAAACTCTCCTTACAGATGACTGGTCCAAGATGGCTGATCATATACACTGGTGGTGCAAAAATTAAGGACGAGACGGTTTTTTCAGTATAACTTTGTACAAAAGCTTTCCAAATCAACACATTTAATACCGTAATATCTTCAATACGTAAGGACATGAGTAATGTAAGCAACACTTACTAAAAAGAGAAATCAGAGGGATAAAAAGAAGCGTTATTTAAAAAGTAGCATGGAGCGCAATGCGACTGAAGGCCGAAACATCCCTGTGATGGGTGTCCAGCAAGAAACATCCGGTCTTTAATAGGGGATATGATCTCCCCTGACTGCTAGGCAGGTTTCACAGCGTCTGCCCATGCTGAGAATGAGTGTGTCAATGAGTTGTTGAGGTATTCGTCTGCCCATTCGTCTTGCAGCGCCAATCGAAGCTCCGGAATCGTTACTGGTGGTCAGTTACGAGCTGCCAAGCGTCTGCCTAGAAAATCCCATACATGCTCGATGGGATTGAGATCCGGAGATCGTGCCGGCCAATCCATACGTCCAATATCCTCAATCTCTAAGAGCTGTTCGGCAGCTACTGTGCGATGACATGGTGCATTGTCGTCCATGAAAAGGAACTGCGGACCCATAGCGCATCTAAAAAGACGCACATATGGAAGAAGAATCTCGTTTCAATAACGGGTCGCGTTGACTGGACCTGCGTCGAAGATGTGAAGGTCTGTACGATTACCAAGCATGATGCCTCCCCAAACGAGAACACCGCCACCTCCATACCTGTCCCTTTCAATGATGTTCGAGGGATGAGTGCGGCTTCCCCGCTCTCTCCAGATGAGTATGCGATGAGAATCGCTACTCAGACTGAATCTGCTCTCATCTGTAAAGAGTACTCGTCCCCATTCATTGTCTCTCCAATTCCGGTGTTCCCGGCACCACAGAGAACGCCTTCTCTGATGGGCAGGCGTTAGAGGTACACACCGTACAGGCCGTCGTGCAAACAGACCACCACCACGCAGTCTTCTGGCCACGGTAAAACGCGATATCGGTCGTCCAGTCGCCTGTGTCGTGTGTCTAGTGATTTCTCCCCCTGTCTGCCGCCTGCTTCTGGCCTGTAAGGCAATGTACCGGTCATCTGCGGGTGTGGTTCCTCGTGGACGACCACTACTAAACCCCCGGATAGCTGTTCCTGTAGTTTGAAATTGTCTCCAAAGTCGTGAAACGATCCTGTGAGCAATTCCGAACTCTGCAGCCACACTTGTCACACTGGGGCCTTCCTCCAACTTCCCAATGATTCGACCTCGGGTAAAAGCATCCGGATGTTGTCAAACAGATTGATTATTCGCCATTTCTCGCTGAGGCAGCAACTCGGTGTGATTTTAACTGCTATACGGCGTGCAATCTCTTTGCCAGAAATACTGATCTTACACCGACAACATGCTTTATACTACTCAGACACTCCCCCATTACGTCTACTTGCATATCTGCGCATTGTACATCACCTTACTTAATCTCCTGATTGGTCTTTCTGTCCGCTCTGCCTCTTCGTTCAGCTGATATGCTAATTTTTCGACTTCGTCCTTAATTTTTGCACACCAGTGTAGCTTGCTTTGTATTATTTTTAAGTTCTACTTGAAATAACAGTTAAATATCTGAAGTTTCGGATAACATAGCTAAGCTGCAATTTTAACCTTCCATAATGTGTAAGTTGTATTATGTTCAGAATTTTCACAAAATTTTTGAACTTAAACACCTTCCCGGGAAAATAGAACTTTCGGCACCTGCCTCCGGGAAAATAAAACTTTATGGGTATGTGTTTATACTTTTAAGGATAATATAATAATTTAAGAATGATAACTTGCACGGTTAATAAAAACGAAAACTTATGCTATAAAGATTTTAAGTTTTACTAACGTTTATTTTATTTTAAACTCTGCTATCCTCTATTATTTTCCATTTCCGGGCAGAACAAGCGCGAGTAGGATTTTTATGCTAATGCGTTTGCAAACTGTAAAAAGTATTTAAGAAGTAGCTTCTAGCCAAGACAGAGAGAGCCTTTATGCTGCCGTACTAGGCGCGTGCTTTTCAGTCAGTTCGTGTCTGTCTTTAGGCCAGAACGTAGTTCCTGCTGATATAATTGGCGTATTGTAGTATTTGCACCTAGCTCACTAATTACGCAGGTTCAAAAGGCCAATCTTCGCGTTAATAGTCTCTGTAATGCCATTAAGTTTAATTCTTATTAGGCTAGTTATTAAGTGAATACTTCTAACTTTTTACGTTTTAGACCAAAAGAGTTGGTCTCTGTATACCGAAGTGCGGAAGCGCCTGTACGCTATGAGAAATAAAGGGTAAAGTTAACCCTTCTTACTTGTTTGTCGATTCCACGCACACACGAACATAGCTTGAGTAAGCTCCCTGTTCTCACTCAGGAATTCTGGATGTTTCAGAAGGCAGTAGTTTTGATAATACTAGTGCTTATTAATGCAGGAAAGTGACACAAAAGTATTTTTTCGTGGGATTTTCATAAATATGTAAATATTTACTAAGTAAATTTGACTTATGTAGAAAAAGTAATGCGTAACACGATGATGGATGTTTTCATAGTATCAATTATTTATGACAATCATATTGTTATTTATTTCATAATATTAATTGTTATCACAATGAACTAGTAAAGCCGATGTTTCGGTTTTAAATTGAAATAGAGATCCAGGTACTAAATTTCTAAAAGTAAATGATATATACTCTAATTCGCAGAATGTATCTAGCTTACCTCCACATAGTCCAGTTGTGCGTCCTGCCAACATCGTTTGGAGGTCAAAATGAAGGCCGGACTCCGTTTTACTATTCATACTGACTGGCACCTACAGAGGCTTGGCACCTAGAACAAGAATAATATTTTTTTATGTAAGCCTTCAGAAAGTACTTTTCACTTAACATAAATTCTAAAAATAAATGTAGAGATTAGTCTTCTTTTATTGAGCAAAAAGAACAAGTATAACAATGTAGACTTCAGACACTCCCTAGTCATAAAAGTCTGATTCTGTCTCTAGAATATTAATATCTCCAGTTCTTATTAATTCAGGATTCTCCGGAGAGATATTTATTTTGGGAGCGCTATTTCATTTATTTTGGTCATGGCATAATAAGCTGCAGTGTGTAGTCAAATTGCTCTTATTTTGTGAGTTCTGGAACAGTAATATATTAAAGTAAAAGTAATATTTTTTTAATTCACTAATGGCCAATATATATGTAGAATTTTAGTCTGTTTAGTATAGAGGTATGGTGTTAGGTAATTTCGTTCATATTTAGAGAAACTACAATTTAAATTGATAGAAATTCATAAAGAGAACCAGACTTCAATATATTTCAGCATTGTAACCACAATCTGCTTTTTAAAATCTAAGTATAATTATCAAATTCTGACTAAACTGATAAAAAGTTTATAAATTTACCGATAAAAATCAATTATTTTTTTTTTACTAGTTTAGAAAGCGTTTTAAACGTTTCAAAGTTTTAAAATGTAGAAGAACGTTTGAGGCGCGTTACGGCCGCCATGCGGAAGTTTCACTTGAACACGCTAGACGCGTTACGGCCGACTAAGAGGTTAATGTATATTTTTATAATATTTTATATAGGAGTGGTTAATTTAGCTTCTGTAGTGGTAGAAATTATCAGAAGAAATATCTTTTATCCATGTTGGACAGAAACTATTTTTTAATTCTCCAATTTATTTATGTAGTCGATTATTAACTTGATAAAAATTAATTTGGGCGAAATTAATGCAGTAAATAAATCATTTTATTTTATTGCTTTTCTGTTTTCTCTGTAATTTAGCTAATTATAATTTATAATTGGAGAAAATTGTTTAGATTATTCATTTCGAGAAAACGAATAAAGTGCAAAGCATTATAATGTTCTACAGCACAAAAACAATAAAAGAAAGCTCGCAAAAGTGTGAAATATATTTTTTTAAATTTAAATGAACTTTTAATGGAAAAAAATTCGAGTTATTAGGTATCTTCACAAAAACTCTTTTTAATTTGATCAGTGATATTTAAGCTAGCCTTATATATATATGTTTAATTTATAAATTTATAACACTTTCTCTCTTCGTGCTGCATGACGTTACTGGTAGTGTGCTAGCCGTGGATATCGGAAAATCTATGGTTCGAATCATGGCAGGGCATAGTTGATCTCTCACGTTTAGCTCCTAACAAACTCCACAAATTGATGCCGAATGGAAAGATGGCATGGGCATCAGCAATATCAAACTATGGGTATCTGCGACATCAAAATTTGATATAAAAATGGCATCTTAATTCTCTTGTCCCCGAAATTTTGTTATAAATACAATTTTCGTAATCCACTGTCTTATCAAATTTAAAATTTATTTCAACCTCACTTTCTGTAAGCAATAATGAGCACTTAAATACCAAAGAGGGCAGTCAGGTTCCTCATTATATCCTCACTGCTTCGCTCTTTTTTTTCATGTGACACTTCGCTGAATTCCATACAGGGCTAGCCTTATTATCCTCCTTTCCCCGTTGCTGAGCGTCAGTTTCGAGTCATGGTCGAACAATTTAACATGTTAATTAATCTCAATTTCCAGGGAAGTAATTGTGTAGGGAAAGGGAGGACTTTGATGCAAATTTGCGTCACTAACTCCTCACACTACGCTGCGTCCCCCTCCACATTACTAGGTTTCGAACGCTACTCCTGTCTGGGATTAAGAAGGAGTTCGAATTGTCAGTGGAATGCGTGGTAATGATGTAAACAAACTGATCGATTTTACTAAGGGCGCTCTAAGCACGCTGCTGACCGTTGGTATAGATGTAAATGGGCAATAAACTGCTTAAATGAGCAATGGGCAAGTTTGATTTCACTAGTTATATATATACAATAATATAAAAATAATAACTGATTGAAATTAGAAATGCAGTTACTTTTGATTAAAAAATGCTTGATTTTATACCATAGTTTCCTTAGATTTTGCAAACTCATATCCTTTGATTAGTAGGTGCTTAAATAATAATAATAATAATTATAATATTTGATAAGTATATGAGTGACGCCGCCCAATCGGGATAGTGGTTAGTGCCGCTGACTGTCCTACCGAAGGGCCCGGGTTCGAATCCCGGAGAAGGCATGAATGTTTGTAAATGTATAATGTCTGTGCGGCATGGTTGCACTCTGCGACGAAAGTCATCTCGAAAGTTGATGGTTGGGGAAGAGTGGGTCGGAGGCCCTCGACCTGTCTTCTCGGGGTGCTCTCCATCAAACTGGGGGCGGAACTGAAAAGTCGTACTGTCACCTGTAAAATGCTCAATGCTTTTGCCAACGACACGCGCAATCTTGCACTCCTTGCCACGATGAAATTTCGTGGGCTTATTCTGATTTTACGGTCAGACAAAAGAGATAAGTCACAACAGCAGTATGTGAGTAAATAATTATAATCTTTAGCCTAATAAATTACGATAAAGAACATTGTCAGTAGGGTCAGTTTCATCATTAGACGAATCTGGGTGATTGCCTAGGAGCATCAAGACACAGAGGCGCTTGTTTTACTCACAAAGAAAGAAAAGATTGATTGTTAAATCTTTCGAATTTTTTATCATTTTAGTAAAATGTGTGTGTATAGATTTTGCAAATGAATTTACAGTAAAATCTCTTATGACAACTATTTTGCACAGACGACTGATCTTGAAGTTACCAGTATTTCTGGCAACATAAGTAAATCAGTATGAAAAATCACCGAATGGCGTGATCTCTAAGGTGGCTTTCTGAAAAAAGGAAATTACACCGTATGTGTGTATAAAGTTCATTTTGAATTAAGGAAAGCAATACTATAGTCTGCTACTTTAAAATAGGAACTTCAAAGTTATTTCCTGCCCCCCCCCTCGATTCGATTGGTATGTACAGAAACAACAGCAGCGGAAAATGTCAAGTCGCTTGAGATTCCTCCCCACCCATACTTCATTTCCGTTTAGCATGTCTCGCTTCTTGAGTAATGAAAGCTGATTTGAATTACAGTCTCAAGTCAGGTGAGGAAGTGAGTGTTCTGCGGTGAAGACGACACGAGTTTCGATTTCAAATGGCTGGGGAGAGGGGCTGGCAACGGGCTTGACGTGCCTATTTTAAAGTAACAGACTGAGACCCCATCCAAAATCACGCTTAATCTAAGTAGTAACGAATTACTTTCCAGCATATTTTAGTTCGAATGTTACTAGGTACTTTTTGGAAGCAGAGAAGTGAAAAATGAGCAACGCCTTCGCCGGGAATCAAACCACGGATCTCTGGAATACGCGCCCAGCGTGCAGACCACCACACCACGAAGGCTTTAGAAATAACTTATATACTCCCCATTTTAAAGGGCCACTGGAGTTTTAGGAGACCCAATCGCCAAATCCTGGGTCTGGAGAATCATCATCCACCACCTTTTTAATTCGGGCGCCACTGTAGATACATTAGGCATTTTTTAGAAGCAGGAGAAGTGTAAAATGAGCGAAGCCTTCGCCGGGAATCGAACCACGGAACTGACCTCTGGAATACGAGTCCAGCGTGCAGATCACCACACCACGTTGGCATGCTAAGAAGGCTGAAGAAATACCTTATACCCTTTTATAGCGTTATTTTTAGATTTTCTTGGAGATCTGGGATCTTTTTTCTCACATCAGTTAATGATAACTTATTTTTTTGCTATACGCCACTCCAGCTTACGGGTAGTTTCACAGAAGCACTCGGCTGGCACAGGCAAAAAGCGGAGAAAAGTTACATAAATGAAGTGTTTATATTTATTCTGTCTCCATTTGTAATTTATCAGCAGTAATCACTCAAAGCAAACAAAACTCTAATCCCGAATCGGTCCGTGGTTTAAATGATTTCAGGGAGCAAACGCGATAATTTTTTGCTTCTTTTCTCTTGGAATTAACGTAAAAATTTAGACTACGCTTACTATTTTTTAATGACGAGTTTAATTTTCTGAGGACTTTTGTATAATTAAAAAAAAAAAAACTTTCTTTTGTACAGCTGAGAATCTTTTTTTTATTAGCGGTTCATGTTCCGTAACAGTCCTGCAACACTGAGAGTACGGTATAAGAACTTTCCAGATGCTCGTTAAGCGAAAAATTGGGGAAAAAAAAATACATGACCGTAATTAGAAAAGTGCATTTTTTATTCTGTTGCTTGTGGGCATTAGACGATGCGAATAATGTGGAAGGAATTGTTACCATAAAACAACTGTTCTGTTTTTGCTTGCAAATTCTTTTCGTGGTGTTTCTGTTCCTTCAAGAACAGTTTCAATAATGAAATGCTTGAGTGTTGATAAAGTATCGCTGATCTTGTTTCGCTGTACGTCATTACTTGGTACAGCCGTTCGTAAGATGTTTATAAATAATACTCTGAACGTTTACACTGCTTGCAAGATAAAAAACTTTTAACAGTTTGGGAATTTTCGTCTTAATGGCCACAAATATCTCTTTTAAAACAATACATGCTGAGAACTTTACAAAGAGGGAAACTGCTTAAAAGAATCCAAGAATTTATGGGGAATCAGAAATCATTCTCGAGATGTATGTAATATAAAGATCAGTTAATTTCAAATTGCAGCAATCTCCTCATCTCTCTTTTGTGAAATTTGTTTCGTAGTTTGTCTAGGAAAGATTGCTTGCTTTAAATTATGTCTTATGAGACATTTAAAAGCAAAGATACTGAATTACATTGTCTGATAGTAACACAGCACATGACATGATTGTCATCTAATGCTTACGCAACTGACTATCATTTGGAACGTGCACTAGGGAGGCCTTCGGCTTGGTGAAGCCTGAAATATTAAAAAAATAGTACTAACACATAGAGGCGTAACGTGTATTCAGCTCTGAG